GAAAGCATTTTCCTTGCTATTGTTACAGCTCAGTGTCACAAGGAGTGCTGCTTGTACAGGAAGAAAGGAAAAAAGGATGTTGGCTGGTAGCTAAAACCAGTGCTCGGCGATTTCTCCATCACATCTGCTTGGGTTCACAGCCCTGGAGTTTTTGAGGGCATCTTGCAGTGCACCTCTTGAAGAATCCTAAAGGAAAGGTGGGGGCCAGGCCCATATCCCTGTCCTGTGAGAGGACTGTGGTCACACCTGACCAGGTGCAGAAATCCTGCTGAAGTTGATCTCCCACTTCCATGGGCTGAAGCCAGCTGTCTCTGCTGTCAGTGTTGCATCTGTCAGCCAAACTGCACCAGTTCTGGAATCCAGTTCTTCAGAGCACCCAAGTGACTGGGACATGTCTTGGTGTTCCTTGTTCAATGGCTTTGAATAGGGGTTTCCTACAAAGTAGTGTGCAGTGTTTGAAGACAGGTGTGTATTTTACCCATAAAGCAGTGTGTGGATACCAAATTTGGTACCTTACCTCCCTGTGGCATCTTTGCCCTTGGATGTGTTAGTCCTGGAATGATGCTGAGGTAGACACATTTGAAAAGTCAGTGTGCTCCTGGGAGTTTGCTGCAGGATGTGACCTAGTTGTCCTAACTGCTGGTCACAGGTGGCACTTTTCACATCATTTTACAGCCATGACATAAAGCTATTTAGCTTCAATCTTGTTTTCTGCCCTGACAAGCAACTTTGTTTCCGCTCCTTCCTGGCTGATGCATCTTCTCAGAGAAATTTTCATCATTGCAGGGGTTAGTCAAAGGAGGTGGGTGGAGTTTTTTAAAATTGCTGAGAAAGGCTTATACATGCCATCATGACATCTTTTACTTGCTCAGGCTCTTTGTTACTCTCTTTTGCAGATAGTACTCGTGCCTTAAAGTGGGCATCTGAGGGGGCAAAATAGGAAGGTGAGGGGGGTTTTCAGTTCTATGACTGTGTTTCATCATGAGTATGAGGCAGCCCAAGTGTGGGTTGTTGCCAAAGGCAGATTTGTTTCCAGGCAGTTGTCTGTCTGTCTTGCTGCAGGACTGCCTTGATTAAAGCTGCTTAAGCTGTTTGTGAAACTGCAGCCTAAGAGTCTAGTGTTCTTAGAAGCCTAAGAGATCTCTGGATGGTGTCTGGAAAATATTAAGAAGAGTCTTAATGTTTCTGGACAATTTTTGATGGGAGGCTGTAGGGCCACTGTGGTAAGGTTTCATCAGGAAGATGCTTGGTGCTCATTCTCTATCAGCTCTAGCAAAAGCAGATGTTTTACTGTAATAAACCTTAAAAAGCATGTTTCCAGGTGTTTGAGAGAGAAGCACAGAACTACCTGTGCTTTTTTTTCTTGATAGATAAGAACTTTGTTCTGCTTTGCTGCTCTGAGTTGATAAGTTATGGCTCATTCATCTGTTCCCTTTATCCCCCTTGAGATGTGGTTCTAGCTGTACCTAGAGGCTGAAATGAGACTTAGGACCCAATTTGCTGTGGTGTTATGAACTAGTGTGTAAAACAAATGGTTCATTTGTACCCACATGGTATCTGGATGAGACCTTCTCCCAGACAGGCTGGCAGTGGCATGGCCCCAAATTCAGTGGTGGCAGGACATCCCTGTGCCATTGGGTCTATGGGGGGTGAGGTGTGAGGTGTTTCAGTGAGCCATCCTGCTGATCCCTGAAGCAAATGGCTCCTTCCTTCTCTTTCAACTCCTCTTCCTCCCATGGGGGGCTCTGCTGCTCTTTTCTGCCTTGCTGGGGCAAACCTCATCCACTCCTGCTTTGATCCAGCAAGTGCTGACGTTCTGGCCCTGTGCTAGGAGGCAACCTGAGGGTCTGTGGAGAGAGGAGGGGAAGATTTAATTGAGTTTTTATGACCATGTTTGAGCTGCTTAGTGAGAGAAGGCTTGAAGTTAATGACAGGCATGTTTTCCAAAGATCCTCTGCATGTGTGTTTAGGTAAAATAAACACTGCTAAATAAGCTGTGCCACCACTCTGGGCACTAATAAGCCTCCTGTCTGGTACCAGAAGAATACAAATAAATAGTGGCTTTGACTGTTTTAATTGATAGACTTGCTGGGCCTTTGACCAAGCAATTGCATCTCAAAATGCACTTCTTCAGGAGCTAAAACATAAATGTTAGTTAAAAAAAAGCAACACAACAAAAACAAACAACGTGTAGGGTGTCCCAGAGGCTGATGATTGACTTCAGCTTTTATTAATTCTTCTGCAGTGCATTTGCTGGAGCTTTTATGGTTTAATTGAGGTTAAGAGGTTGGAATTTGTGGTAAACAAAGGAATGGCATATGGGTAGTCTGAAATTGTGTATGTTTAAGTAAGAGCATTCCTTCTGGTCACTTGTTTTCATTGGGCAGTTACTCCTGACTCACAACTTTTTTTTTAAAAAAAAGTAAAGGTGTAAACATGCATTGCTAGCAAGTTAATGATTCATTATGTTTTATCACATCCTAACATACCTCTAAAGAAGAGAAGGTTGAGCTGGGCTTGTGTTTGACCTCCCCCTTCAGATTAAGAACGTTTTTCCTTTAACCCCTTACCTGTTGTGGGAGGGTCCACAAGCTCATTTGTTTTGAATCATAATAAGAAAAACACTTTCTCTTCTGCCTTTCTCATTCCCTGTTCCAAGGGTCCACAGCTGTTCTCTTAAAAATTCAAATGGAAAAAGCAGGTGTGGGGAAAAACTCTCCAGAAACTTTTTATTGTAGAGGGTACGGGGAAGTGGGAGTCAGTTTCTTCAGCTGTCCAAAGGAATCTGTGTGCCTGTGTTTGTGTTTTATGGTAACTTTTTTGTCCTACTTTCAGTTCTGTTTTGAGCCCCATGAGTGTCTTCACTGGCTGTGATATCCCTTGTGAGAGGGAACATGTACTGGCCAGTGCAGCCGTTTGACAATTAAGATAAGTTCATACTTGAGGTCTTTATGCTGTTGATAAAGTTTATGGCATGAATTACATCAGCTGGCAATAATAGTGGTGACCTGTTGCCCTCAAGTCATTCTGTAGACATCTGTAATTTATATACAGCTGTTAATAGTGTGTAATCCGGACCCTAAGAGAGCATGTGAGTATAATTATTTCAATGAGAGAAGATAAATCAGAATTTTCCTCTTAATATTTCAGTTAATAGCAGCTTTCATGTGTCCCATAAAGTCAAATGACTTTTTCTCACTTGCTTTAGTTTAGAGCAATCTTTAAAAACTCTTAGGTCTTGTTAAACTAAATACTTGTTCTGAAAAAATACTTTAATAACTCCCTTGTCAGCATTTTTTGTGCACTTCTGTCTTATAAGGAATGCTTTACACAGCTTGAATCGAAAATTGCTTTGTTTAAGAAGCATTGTATATGCTGGCTCTGGGAAGGTGATGCATGGAACAGCTTCTGAATTTGCAAGAGGACACTCCTGGATCTATCTTCTCTCTATCTTGTATTTGCTTTAAAAAATAATTAAAAAAAAATTGATGCTTGAGCACAGAGTTGAAAGGAGAGGGATAAATCCAAGTTCTATTTGCTGTACTCTACATTATTGTTTGCTTTTCCCGTCTCCCACACAAGAATTTGATTCTGCCATAATTTTCTCCTGAATCAGGACAAACATGATTTTAAACACAAAACAATGCTTTTAAAACTATTTCTAGTGCACAGGCACACAAGTACATGCATATATGTGTATGTGTATACAGGCAGATATAAGCAGGCATAACATGGCCTGCTTCCCTGCTGCTTGTGATCCCTCATCTATGTGTTGTGGAGGGTGAAGGAAATGCCCATGGCTCCCTTCACAGCCTGTCCCCCTGAAGGTGGGCTGGGCTCTGGGTGGTGGGAGAGGGTGGCACTGCCAGAACCCGTGCATTGGGCTGCCCTTGCTGGAGTCTGCACCTGTCCCCGGGTGTGTGGGGACTTTGAGGACAGGCATCAGCCAGCAGCACCTGTTACTGTGCTGCAGGTGAGTGTTCAGGTGTTGCTGGTGGAAGGGAGTCGACCCCTTTGTTCAGGGCAGTTGGGGGTTGACTTACATCAGAACCTGTACAGGCATGACCCCATGGCTGGTATCTTGCTGGTTTAGGTCTCTGCTGGCATTGATACCTAACCCACCCTTGAGGAGCCTCTCCCCTTCCTGATGGATTCAGCAGGTGCCACAGGATGCTTCCTGAGAGGAATGCTGAGAGCATTAGGGAGGAGAGGGCTATACATAAAATGGTACAAGTTGCTGAGGAAACTGTCTAACCTAGCTGTAAAGTCAAGATGATGTTGGCTTCTCTGCATTTGGCTGCAAAGAAAACTTCCATCTCTTATTTCTGTTAATATCTGAACTTCAGCTGTAAGGTGCTTGTGCAGCCTGTGCTCAGTGCTTGAGAGGAGGGCAGTGCTTACCTCACAAAAGGTGTTATACAGTGGCTGAGTTTGTGTTCCACCTCCTCCTTTGGGCTGAATTATAGAGGATTTCAGGCAGTGGTTTCCCAGGGAGTAGGGATGGAGTGAGGGGGAGGACAGCACAGATGAACTCCTCTGCACTGACATGTGCCTGTTGACAGCCCATTGAACTCTCTGCTTTGGGAGTGAGTGAGGTGCCTGGCTGAAGGATGGGCACTCCCCCATGTCACGGGTGTTTTCAGGCAACGGCCCAGGGTGCCACCTGCCTTATCGCTTACATGAGTCTGGAAACCTTGAGTCTGGTTTGTTATTCCAGGGAGACCTCATTGTTTTATGGCACTCTCATGGGACTTTCGAGCTGTTTAAAAGGTTGACACTGCCTGGTTTGTGCTGTGGAAACACTGACTGGCTCTGGAAAATGGATGAACGTTGGGAGTGGTTTTGTTTTTAAACATCTCATCACACGCGTGCTGTGAGCTGCTCCCAGTGCCAACAGAAGCACAGCACTGATGCTCTTGCCTTTTCAACAGGTACATGGGATGAAGGGAGCCTGACACCTGTCTGGAGAGGAGACCCCAGCCCCCGTGGAGCTGCCCACCATGAGCAGGACACTGCTGGCAGGCAGGATGCAGCCAGAGATCCGGAGCGTCTGCGTCTTCCTGCCCACCCGCGAGCAGCTCAGCCTGGCCGTCGGGGTGAGTGGCTGGGAGGTCGCTGCATCGCGGCCACGGTTCAGATTTGTTAGCTCCCATTGTTCTCCCAAAAGCCTGGTGCTGGTCTGCTGACCAAAAGGCTATTAGCTAGCTTAGGGTAATTGGTGCTCCATTTTCTAATTGGGCAGCTTCAACTCATTCACAGAGTTTGTTAGAAGTCAGGGCTGTGTTTGTAGGGTGGGGGCCTCCTCTGCTCTTTTTCTGTTGTTATTTACATTTTATTATTTCTGAATGGTTTTGCTGCTTGTAATAATCCAACATTTTTTTAAAAATTTAACTTGAAATACCTTACTTAGCAAGTGTACCCAACATACGACTGTTTGCTCTTGTAAAGAGTCCAACTATCCCTGGTTTTGACAGCCTGCAGATCCCTTCAAAGAGTCTAAGGCAAACAGCCATTGAGGGTGGGTTTTTTTCCCTCCTCTTGAGCACTCGTACACACAAAAAATCGAGGCAAGTCACTCCATTTCTTTGATTGCTGCCTCAAATGTCTCAAAGTGTGCGTGAGTGACAGCAGGGCCAGCTCAGCTGGCAGCCCAGGGTGGCACGGTGTCTGCACAGCACGGTGCCTCTTTGTGCAATGCCGGCTGCTCCTTGAACTTGTGAGAAACTGAGCTGACAAGAGGCACTTGGCGTTCAGAGGACCAGCGAGTTTCAAAGATAAGTGCTCTCTTGTGAGCGTGTGCGTGCACTCGTGTGGGCTGGGGAGATTTGGCTTTGTTTTGGGTAGGTTTTTTTCCCCTGCTTTGGGATGAGGAGGGGGAGAAGACAGTTGAGGTGAACTGTTATTTTAAGTACTTGATTGAAACTGTGGCTTTTGAAACTATGCGTGCTAATCTTCAAAATCCGTGTCGGAATTTTCCTACCTGCTGTGTGTAAGTGTAGCGTCCTTAACTGAAACAGCCTCAAGGGTTGGATGGAATAAAGCTTTAACAGAAAAATCTGGGACACTCTGCTTCTAGGTTACTGGTTCAAACCCAGCCCATCCACTGCCCCAGAAGGCTTCTGCAATCTGCTGGCTTTTGTGCAAGGCAGAAAACAATGATTTAATTAAGTTCTTGGCAGCAGGTGTATGGGCCTCGGTAATGGTCTGTTGCAGCTGACCCTAAATCTCACCTTCTTATAGCTGTTATCAGGGAGGCTAAAGATGGGAGATAGCAGAGCTGCTGGCCGTGGAGAAGGTGCAGGAGGGTATTGCACAAGCCAGGGCTGACACTGTCACTGCTACTTGCTCTGCCTGTGTCTAAGTGGAGCACACAGCTGTTCCTTCACCGCTGGGTCATGCTCCGGTAAATCAGAAAAACCTGCAGTTTATTGTAAAATAAATTTGGGGTGAGAAAGACTCTTAAGATCGAGTCCAGCCATAAACATGATGCTGCCAAGTCCAGCACTAAACCAGATTCCTAAATGCTGCATCTGCATGTCTTTTTTAATACCTCTAAAATATTTAATATGCATAAGAAATAGTCTTGTGCATTGAGTGCTGACAGGAGCAGAGGAAAAGTGCTGTGTCCCTTCCTATTCCCCTGTCCTGTCCCAGCCTGCTGCCACTCCAAAAAGCTGGGGTGCCTTGTGCATCACTATGTTGTCCTGCAGAGGAATCCCCCGCAGTGCCCCTCTGTATTCCTTTTAAAGACATTTGCCCTTGTCATTTCTGATACCCCTTTCTTTCGTGTCTGGGAAATCGGGAAAGTATGTACTTGGAGATGCCTGTGTGTGAAAGGGAATAGCTGCCTGGGCCAAAACATGAGACCTCAACACATGGTTGTGTCCTAATTGCATAGAGAGTGAAACATGACCTGTTACAGCTGGGCAAGTCACCAGAAACAGCTTTTCATTTGGCTTCAGACTTTACCACAACACTCATTCAAAACAGCAACAAAAATTAAGATTTCACAGCTGGAGAGATCTTTCTTTTTTTAAAGAAACATCAAGGCAATTTTCTAGTGATGTTGGTAGAACCCAAATGTAATTAGCACAACCACAGATGATACTTTGTGCATTTATTAGAATAATAATGCCACTACTAAAGATTTCCAAAGCCTTTTAACCTCTTCAGTGTGGAATGCAAATACTAAACAAGCTTGCAGCTCATTGAGGTAGGTAGGAATAGTTATCTTTCCAGCAGAATAAATTATAGATCCTTCCCATGATAAGCACAGTGTTTATGCAGGTAAGTCCTCCCTCTCCCCTCCCATATAAATTCCACCCTTCCAGATAAGGGTTTACCTGTATGTGTTTTATGTGGTCACATACAGATTGAAGCTAACTCTTTAAAATGTATTTGTCTTACACCATTCAGAGATAGTGCTGTTGAAGAGGGAAGAGCAGGAGCCATTTTACATTCTCTTCCCCCACATTCAAGTATCTCTTAATTAGCTTTGATGTCTACCTTTCTGAATGTACAGTGAATTTAGGGGGATGGTGAGCAGTAGAACTGCCTTCTTGAGACCAGCTGTGGACATGAGGAGAAGCAGAGCTGTGAGGGGAACTAGGGGGTGCTGCAGCTCATCAGCTGCTCTGAGGAGGTCAAGGCAAAGCAGGAGAAACTTTTGGAGTGGAGGAAGTCTGGTGAGGTCCTGTGGGTTGGTGAATGGCAAGCATAGGTCTGAAATCTTTCAGTTGTTCTGTGGACAGGAGAGCTAATGTTTCAAAACATACATACCAAGAAGAATAGAACTAATGCACATGAATATCTGTACACAGAATGACCTTGGAGTAGCAGTTACCGTCTGTAAACTTGCACTTGATTTCACTTTGGACTAAATTTCACATGTAAAGAAGCCCTGAGCCCGACATGGGGCAAAGCTGAGTATCAATGGAAGGAATGAGTCATAACATTTCTGAGATCAATCTTGGCACAGGAACCATATGCATAGGGAGGAAAGTCCAAAGATAAAAAATGCAAAGGAAAGTATTGGTTGCTTTGAGTAGAGGGGAGAGTAGGAGGGAACAGCAGTTGCAAATGTAATTGGTATTGCATAGCCTTTAAGGCTGGGAGTAGAACTTGATACATAAGGGAAGTGCCAAGAGGAGAATGGACAAGGTGCTAGTAACATACCAGTTGTGCAAGAACTCTGCCTAAATCACTGTTTAGAGCTATGTGCCACAAAACTGCCACTTGAAGTATTCAGTTCCCTAGAATTAAGTATCTTAAAGCAGGTTTTTCTTCCCTTAGGTGTGAAAGCTTGCCACTTAGAAAATTCATCTCATTGTGTAGCATTTACAGAGTCCTGTGCTGCCAGTGACTCTTGTATGCCCATAACAATTCTGGCTAGAGGAAGGTCACATCTTTCTTAGCAAATCCTTCCCAGGTAGGAGAACGTGCTCAGAGCTTGCTTCTTTGGCAAAAGAGATTGCTCTGTGCCCAACTTTCCCTTCCAAGTGTGTGTTCTGGGTGTCTGACCAAACATTGCATCTAGCTGTGAGACTGAAAGGGTGCAGTCTCACATGGAGACTAATAATTATAAGACCCAGATGTGGTTTTGGGTCTTATCAGAACTTTGCACTACCTCCTCCCTGCTCAAGCTTACACGTGTTTGCATTGGCATAGTGCAGGGCTTCAAAGCTCCTGATAAAGCAGTAGTGAGTGTCTGGCTACTGATGCCTTGTCAAGGTAGAAGAAAATGAGTACTTAAATGACCTCCTGTTTCCCATTGTCCATGTCTAGTGACATGGTACAGCCTGGGGCAGGGAGGTGAGGGCAAGCCAGTTTCTGGGGTGTGTGACATGCCTACACTAAAAGAGCTTTAAAAATTAGAATGGTGATTGGTTTGTAGCAGAGTTAAACAGTCGACTTCTGCCCTGTCCTCTCTGTTGCTCAGTAGGTAGCTCTGCACTGTACCCCTGCAGGCAGCTGCTCCTGGCACTGCTAATCTGCACAGTCCAGCAGTGGGGTAATGAAATTCCAAGGTCTTGGCCCATTTTGCAGCTGGCTGCACCATAGCCTGAGCTGAGGTTGTCTGTGTCAGTGCTGTTCTGTTCTCCTCATCTGCTCTTTCTCTGGACTCCTTCCCCTGTGCCTCTGTGGGCTGGGGGGTTTCTGTGTTTGTCTGTCAGTACTCCTGAGATGATGCAGTGGGACAGGGGGAAATGAGGCTATGGACAGGGAGATGTTTAGTGGGGGAATCTTCCTATCACAGTACACATCCAGGTCTGCACATGCAGTTAACCAGAACCATGCTCCTTCTGGGGCAGTCTGTGAATTACAGGAGGCAGGGATATCGGAAGGTCTCAGTGTGCAGGGAAACAGGCAAGGTCTTACAGGCTTTTGGCTGCAGCTGCCAAAGATAGAGATGTTAATGGCTGTGTGACTAGAATGCAGCAGGAGACAGAAGGAGCTCCTCTCTGTGGGGTACAGAAAAACCACATCTCTAACCTATGAGCTACTCAGAGTCTTTGTGTTTGTTTGGGTACTTTTGTTCCTGGTTCTCCTGAATGAAAACTTTTGGGTTTGGTTTTTTTATTTTCTCAAAAAAAAAAAATTGTAAGGGAACAGTATTTTAATTTCTGTTACTATTAATGATTATTATTCTATGGTAAAGCAATAATACTGAAAAGGTTGTTCTCTGGTGTGGTTGTGTTTGGGTATTTTACTTTGGTACCCAAAAATGTACTGGCCTGCAACTCTTCTTTAGAACTCCTCTTTAGAGGAGTTGTTCCATCCAGGTGCGTGAGCCATCTGTAATGTTGGATTGGTTGTGTCTTTCAGGTCAAAGCCACTGGACAGGAGCTCTTTCAGCAAGTTTGTGATTTAGTGAAGATTAAAGAGCCTCACTTCTTTGGCCTCAGCATTGTTAAAAGTAAGCAAACTCAATGTACGAGCAAGTGACTTGGCAAACATCCACAGACCCGCTTGTGTATTTACAGTGTGTGCATATATACACAGTGGCTGTGCCTGCAGGGGGAATTTGATTGTAATAAGGTCACAAAGTATGTAGATTATGCAGAGCCTTCCCAGAGCTCTTTTGATCTTTGGTATGTGGGCAGACAAATTGAGTAAAGGGGGGGGCTTTTGTTCTCCACCTTTGTTCTTGGATTCCACCTCTTTGTGGGGCTTTCTTTCTCTCCTGTAGTGGGAGTTGCTAGTCAACATATTTGTTACTATATTCAAAACTATAGGTATTGAACAGGAGGTGGATTTTAAAAGGATTTTGGGGCTGAAAGTGTTACTTGTCTTCTGAAGTCACATGTGAAGAATGTGGCACTGGGGAGGAAACTCAAATGATTGTAAGGGACTGAATGAATGCGTGGGACACATTGGCTTTTGAAATATCACATGGGAAATACAAAACTTCTAATCCGTGAGTTAAAGTCCAGTTTGCTTGGTCCTATGGCTTAGTATTGGCCAGGAAGTGGTGTTAAGTTGATGCCTTAAAGAAGCAAATTGATATGAGAGATCACATTTCTGGTATGGTGTAAGCATTGACATTCCCTCTCACACCCCAAGTCTTAGTAATTAGAAATGGATCTGTTGTCTTGTTTATCTTGCCTCCCCATATTTCCAGAAGCACTGAAAGACTTGTCTCTCCTCCAAAAACTTTTCTCAAGTGTGTTATTTACTACTGCAATTCCAGATATTTCATTGAAATTATAGTAGTCTTATAGAAGTCCGTCTGAATAAGGTTTCTTTTGCCTCTTTATAAATATGTAGGATAAAATAAGGTGTTTTTTCTAAGTTTGTCTCATTTCCTTCATGCTTTCATTCTGTAAGAATTGGGTTTTTTAAGTGCAGCATTCAAACTGAGAGGAGCATAAGTTTTTTATCTCCATAAGGTTTGTAGAGTCTCCAAAAGATTCCTTAAACCTAATATACCTGTGCTTTAAGCCAGCATAGTTTTTTTTAATGTGAGGAGACCTGAATTCTCTTAACTTTTTTCACAAATCATCTCTGTTTCTGAGGCCTCCCCTTTGCGACATTTTTTAACACCAGGCTTTGCCTATTCCACTTGCAGGACATGTTGGCTGACAATGGAACTCTTGTCCTCTCCTGTAAGACAGGGCAATTTCATTCCTATTTTCTTTGAATTCTTCTGCTTTCCTGATGTTTTTTTCACCTTTTCCCCCCCTTCACATGTTTTTGTTTCATATTTTCCGTACCCTGCTTTTGCCTTCCCTCACACCTTTTCTGTGAAACAGTTTCCTTTACCCTATCAAGCACAGGGCTTCTGGTCCCAAAATACCCGGTAGTGGCAGATACCTTTCAGCCTGTTGGAAATACATTGTAACCACTGCATGCCAAAGAACATAATAAAGCTGTTCTGACTAGACTTTAGAGTATATTGTCCACAACTTTAAGTGGAAACAGTCTTCTCACTTCATGAAAGTATTCTTCCTTTTCATAGCAGCTAATTCTTCCAGAAAGCTCTTAAAAAGTCAAGGAAAAGAGTTACAAGAGTCCAGTAGTATGAATTAGCATCTCTTTTTTGTTTGTTTTGGAAGCAGTTATTTGCTTTCCTGAAAGGAAAGACTTTTTCTGTTCCACAACTTGATTTCTCTCCACCTTGTTTTGGTCAGCAGACTGTTGATCATCTCTCTTGCTGCCCATGGTAGCTGAGGTCTTGCCTCTGTAGCAAATGTAGCACTGAGTGTGGCATTTGGAAGTAGCCTTTAAGGTATTGCCTGCTTCACAACAAGCTATCATCTCAGGAAAGGGAAGTGCTCAGGTCAGGTATTGGGGGGGCCTGGGTGAGTGTTGCATTCCCAGGTTGCCTTGTGGGTGCTGAAGTCGACTGCCTTGGCTGAGTACCAAGTCAGTGTACATCCCACAGAGGCTGTGGAGGAGGGAAGCCTGGGCCTGGTCCCTCAGGAAAGGCTAGGTGTCCAAAAAATGGAGAGGAAGCATATACATTTTTCAACAAGGTAATCCTCTCCTTCATCATGCTTTCACCTCTGTGCTGCAGCTTCAAAAAGACGTTTTTTAAAAAACAGCCACCCTGTTTTAGTAATGATATCTTTCCCAGTTTCTTAATGTGCATTTATTTTTGGCAGTCCGATACTACCACATGCAAAACAAGGTATTCTAATCCACCTGCATCCATTACTTTGCTGCTAATTTGTCAACAAAACCCTGACTGTCAGCAGTAGCAAGAGAATGAAAATTAAAGGATTTCTTCAGAACTGTAGCCAATCACACTGCATGGATTATCTGGATTAGGAGCCCATTTGACCTGCAGACGTTGTACAGATACACTAATGCTCAGTTGGTCTCATACTAAGTATGTGTGTGGGGGGAGAGGTTGGGGTCCTTAATCATAAACAGAAGTTTAACCCCTAAATGTGGCAAAAAGGGAAATGGCACCACAAAGCACCATGCAAGCTGCAAACCATGAATGCTGTAAGATCTAAGCTGTAGGTCTTGGAGTGTGTTTCCCAGCATTTGATACCTAAATATGTTGCCTTCTCTTCTGGCTATTGTAGATGCTGAGGGCAAGCTTCAGGATTAAGGGTAACAATTACATTGTCAGGATAGCATTTTTGATCCCTTCTGCTGTTGAACTGTTTTTTTTATTCTCAAGAGGAAAACCGCTTTGACCCAATATATCTGAGAAGAAAAAAAACTTGTGTCTATAAGAAGTTGATCACTTTGAAAATCAAGTTCAGGAATGTGCATTAATGGGAGGTCCTACAAACCTTGGGACATGTTGCTCTTCTAGTTTTGTCATGGATAATCAGGCAGGCTATACCTTGTGTGCTCCTGCTGCTGAAGTGCTTGGTTTTTAATTTTTTTTTTTTTAACTTGCAGTTTGGTCAGTGAAAGATCCTGTGACCCTGCCAGGTTCAATCTGGTTCCATAGGCTTCAGCAGCTGGGTCTTATATGGCAAATCCTCCTGTGGGGTCAACCTTATCTTGTGCCCTGCGGGAAGGTTCCCTCTTGTTATTGGAAAGTGTGTGCAGCGACACATTCAGTCTTCTAAAACAAAACTGAATGTCAGCAGACAAAGAACAGCCAGGCTTCCTTTGTTGTTATAACCCAGATCCCTTAGATCCTGAGTTTTGGGCCATGCCTTTCTAGGAGCAAACCTTGCTTGACCTAAGCAGATGGAAGCCTTCAATTGGGAAGGAGCAAGACTGCAGCTCCTATACCCTGCCACTGTCTCTATGTCCTCTTAGGAGTTTGTCAGGCTGGCTTTCTTACGTAACCAAATATCTCTGCTTCAGCTCCCCTGCCTCAAGAATAATACTCTATTTTTTTAAAGCTATGGCTGTTCACCTTGCCAGGCCCATGATTCCCAGCACATGCTTACCAAGGAGCTCAGTGATTAACTCTGCCAAAACCACTCTGCCTCCAATTAACTCTTCTGCATCTGTATATCCTCCAGTACTGAAATTCATGGAGAGAATATGCTAACAGGTTATCTTTATATTACATGAGTATGTCTTATAACAAAGGATCTCTTAGGAGACAAATAACAAAAGTTCTCTGAAATACCTTATGATGATTTCTACACACCAGTCCTTCCTCACTATCCATGCTTCTTGCCTGTTCTCTCTTAAATCTGCTTGCATAGTTGAATCTTCTTTAGGAATTTCTCCTGTATTCTAACCTAAGGTACAACTCTATTACACTCACTTTGGTACCTCAGACAAGTTAAATGCAATATAAGAAAAACATGTGCAGAAATGTACCACCTAGAGGGAGTTGCAGGGGCTCAGATGTCCAGAGAGTATAAAATACTCCTTGAAAGGACCTACATGATCTCTTCCTATGTAGGCAGTTTTTTACCTGTACCTGCTGTCAATTGTTTCTCCTTTGGTATCAGTACAACATCCAGCCAAGTGCTCTCCTGCCTGAGAACTGCAAAGGGTTTGTTTGTCCCTGGATGAGCAGTGCTGGAAATGGTTCTGCAGCTTTTCTTGTGCAGAAGAATCCCCCATGGTGCTGCTGAAGTCTGAAGATGTTTGCCTGGGCATGCCTTGTTGCTAAATGTAAGATGCCAATGTAAAATTCTGGCAGTACCTATCGATTACCAGGAATGATTGAACCTTTATCTCAGTGTTCAGACCTCGACAGTTCCTAACACCACAAGATCTCAGGCTTCTTGATATTGTCTCCTTTCATACTACCCTCCATAGCCTTGTGTCCATCCCAGGTAAAGTGACCTCAGCCAGGACCTCCCTTGCTTTACTCCCAGCCTGGGTTGTGATTCTTCCCTTCATTGGGATACATGTACTTTCCAGCTGAAGCTAAAAACACAAGGTTTTCCTGAACCAAGTTCTTTTAGACCCTTTACTAAACTGATCAACCACTTATCAGAAAGTGGACAACATTTCTTTCCATTGGCTTGAAAGGTAACACCAGGAGCATTGAGAAGCTATGCAGAGTGGTGGGAGCAGGTGCCATGTGGGTAGTGATTTTTCCCAAATCACTAATGCTTGGAAGCTTGGGGAGATCCACATGCAAAAGGAGGTGTGTAGCCAGCTCTTCTTCAATAATCAAACAAAAAAATCCATGCTGGTGTTCAGGTTATGTGAGGGCTACAGCATGTGTTGTGAGGTATATTTTAGTGTGGGTTTTTGTTGTTTTTTGGTTTTTTTATGCTTCAGCTCTCCCCTAACCCTAGCATCCCTCTGTCCTGCTCCTTCTCTTTCCTGTTACACCTCAGGAGACATAGTGGTGTTGCCACGAAGCTTCTTGAAGCATCTGGGAAAAGTTAAGCGCAATAGCCATGGATAATTTTTTCCCTTCTCTTTTAGGCAGAAAATGCTTGCTATGTGGAAATTTGGCTTCACACTAATTCATATTCTATTTGAATCCTATTCTTCTGGACTGTCTAGTTGCATTGCTAAAATATACATGACTCAGCCAAATTTGTTAATGGGATCTTCCTGGCTGCCTGTGGGGCTAAGCACCAACTCTTGGTAGGACACCTTTGTGGAATTTGTTGGTGCTCCTAGCCCACAGTGGGCACAGGAGGAGAACAGGTTTTTGGCATCACCATTATTTAGCTTTTATGCAGAGAACTTACTTTTCATAAAAAATGAGATGAGAAGGAACTAGTTAATGGAAAATAATGGCCTTTAGGTTAACAATGACTCAGAATGATTTGACCCTGTATTACAGCCTTAATTTTCCATTCCCATTTTTCCTGCAGTGTAAATAATGCCTATTGTAAGTCTGCATCACTCACTGGAACTGTGTCATTTTTTTCTAACTGGGGACCTGGCACATCATTTTTTTGCAACAATGCGTGTCCTATATTTTTTTAAATACATAAAATGTGCTGAGCTGATTTTGCAGAGTAGAAGTGTTTTATATTTCTGGTAATTGCTTATTTTGAAATGTGAATTTTACAGCATAAACTTTCAATCTCATTTGAGAATTCTCAAAGGTGAAATTGGGAGAAATGTGTAAATTTCTTTACTGCAAAGCATCTGGCTGTCCAGATGCATTTCTTGGGATTGCAGTGCAGTGCACTGGTGGGTTGTGCCAGGTCTGGTATCTGTACATATGTACATGAGGGAACCTTTCAAGAGAAGCTGATGCATTTGTAAGATCACCTGCAGTGCTGAGATGAGATTCATGAACTCAGTGTCAGTAACTGCAGGTGGATGAGAGTGTATTTTTATGTGTGCATGCTTCTCAGTCAGGTTCTTATTACCTTTCACTTGTCCTTCAAGTGAGGCGAGTGTAAAAATGACAGTTTGTACCTGCTGAGTATCCAGCCCTGTTTGGATCCATAGATCAAATTTATTCTTCCCTGGAAAGGGGGCCATCTGTGCATTTCTATATTGTCCTTTACAGCACTGCTCAGAGATGCTGCAGTTTGGTGCCCTCATATCTGTTAGAGATGCTTATTTTCAAATAGCATCTGGCAAAAGATCTCTTAGAGTTTCATCACTAATCCAGTGTGAGGAAAAAAAAAAACCAAAGCCACCCACAAAGCAGTAGGGCTGTGGAGGGGAAATACCTCTTTGTTTTTGTAGATGGAGGCTTACACTGCAGGTTGACATTCCAGCCATATTGACTTCATTAAGGCAGGAATGCAGTGCTGCATTCTTGCACAGGAGGGAGGATGCTGAGCTGGGCTGGGGAGGACCCCAAGAAGAGATGTACATTGGGGTGTCCTCCTGTAGCCTGGCTTATTCTTGTGGTTTATGTGTATCTCCCAGTAGGCCTGATAATAACCTGGAATCCTCAGGTGTGACATCTGTGCCCTCACGAAATCATCCCTAACCTAATTAACATGACAGACAAAGAGGGGCTCTGGGGTGTGGGTAACAAATTGCTTTACTGTAGTGTAACTGTTCTGTCACACCTTTCCCTTTCTGACGTACTATTCAGGGGTGATGGGATGGTTTGGGGTATGTCACTGTGCTTTCTATTCCAATTTTTCCCTCCTGATTGAGGAATAATAAATGTGTTTCTCTAAATGCCTCTGGGCATGGGATCATTACTGAAGTAGAAAGGAAAACTGACCCTTCAACTTGTTATAGCCTCTTAACAAGGTGTCAGCTGAAGACCACAGTGCTGGCAGAGCTGACACAGGCTTTACCCATCACTGCTGTGCCATCAGGATCAGCCCTGTGCTGTGTGGGGAGCCCATAGTGGAGGGTTTGCCCTGCTGCAGGACTGCCAAAACCCAGGGAGGGACTGAGTGGTGTGCTCGCGTTATCCCACTCCAGTCACTTGCTGTGCATTGATTCCCTAAATGAGCTTTTACTTACTTTTTAATAAAAGCTTTATGGAGTGATGCTTACCAGCTTGGCAGCTGATTAGGGACAGAGACAAGCTTAACATGAACAAGCCCTTCTCTCACTCACTGACTAGGACTTCTATCAGCCTCTTCCAGGCAGTGTTATCTGATCTTAATGGACCTAGAGAAGGAAGGGCTGGAGCCAGTGTAGCCCCTAGCCACCCTATCTTAGACAGAAGTGAAGAGGCTGGTACAAGATGCAATCTCTGTGATGATAAAAACTCTTCCTCTCCTTGTCAAAACAGCAAAAATAGCTTCTATATCATCCTGTGTGCTACAGCACTTAAATTGGCCACCACAGACACTTTCAGAAATTCTATACTGCCACTTTGATGGTGCAGTTAAATACTGGTTTCTGTATGTGATATGTCAAGTAATGTGATAAACAGAAGTGTAGGTATATTAAAAGTACAGCTGCAAGTACTACAATGCAGGAAAGAGCATGGAGACAGAAACAGGACTTTTTGGGGCATTGTACTTTTTGTATCCAGTGTTACTGCTATTTTACAGGAGGTTTCCTAGTAGGGTGATGTGTGGGCCAATTGTGGATAGCACCAGATGTGGTTTCTTAAGGTGGGAGCTGAAGGAGGTGGCGATAGGAGGTTGTTTTGCTTGCTTGTTTTTTGAAAGCTAGCAAAGAAAGTATTTGTTGTATCTGCCCCTGTAAGGATCTGCAATGCTTTGGAAGGGGTGTGAGGTAGCTTAGAGCCCCCTTCAATGCCTACTATAACACTGGCCATGCCAGGCCTGCATCTGCCATAATACAGACATGAGTGCAGGCTCTCATTTGGAAGTCTGGGCTGGTCTTAAGGAGCTGGAGTTTGTTTTGTGAAGGGTTCTTTTTTCTTTTTTTTCCCCTCTCCTTTTTACTCCTGCTCCTTTCATGTTTTAGGAGCAAGCTCTTCATCTTGGCACTTGTGTCACCTGTCAAAACACTGTCCTAAGCAAGATCAAAGTGTAGAGAGACTGGTCAGGTGAATGTGCTCAGCTGGCATTGCTACTGCAGCCTGAAACACCTGTCAGGTCTTGTCTTTTATTTTTTTCTTAAGAGACTTGAAGACTCAGGAAAAAAATCTTTCACTGGCTGAGTTGTTTGTATTTGATAATTGGTAAGCAGTGTTATGAAACATCAGCTTTGAAAGCAGCACAAACCTCTTTCAAGATGATGTGCCATTCAGGCTGTGTCTTGTTCACTCTCACTAGGGTGGAGAGCAAGTCGTGGTCCTTTAGTGTTTTGAGGCAGGCCAGGTTTCCCTTCCTTTCATTCATCTTTTCTCTAAATGAAAGAAGTTGGGTGTGAGCAGGACGCACCAGACCTTCTGAGAAAGGTGTTTGTGTTTGGTCCTCTTGTTTCTCACCCTTTCAGAGGATCCCCTTCACATGCAGAAGATGAAACCTGTCAAGTACCCAGCTCTCTTTACTTTTGCCATGTTGGATCATGGTGCTACATGATGGCAGAATACAAGCTTGGGTAGGGCTTGCTTGTTTAATAATAATAAAAAACTGAATCTGGTAAGCTGCCAGTACAATTAGCTGGGTAAGATGATGTTTCTCTCTTTTGGAAATGGCTTCTTGATTATAAAGCAGGAATTCTGCATTTCTGGCTAAGATGTTTGGGAACCTTTAGCTCAGGATCTCTTGAAGGAGTGAATGACCTTCCTTCCATGCTGTCTGGAGTCGCACATGTATTTAAGAGTACTTTTTTTTTCTCCCCCTGCCCTATCTATTTCCTGGTCAGCAAATGTATTGCTTGGAAATAACTTGTAGAGTAACCTAAATATTTAATGACTAAACATTTCCAATTATTTTATGTTGAATTCCTTTTTTCTTATCTTTCAGATAATGAATATGTTTTTATAGACCTGGAGCAGAAGCTTAGCAAATACTTTTCAAAGGAATGGAAGAAAGAGACCACCAAAGTAAGAGAGGTGTTTAACTTTGGAAGCTGCTGCTTTTTTATTGGACTGCACAGTGAAATGAAAACTCTTAAACTAAGGTCCATAAAGCATCTTTTGAAGATGGTCTGCAGAATACTTTTCATTAGCAGGATGCAGTGACTTTTGCATAGTTGCACAATTAGTTAAACCAGCCCCTTATGCAACTTTAGCTGAGCCATAGTAACCACAGGGTTGTTGCTTGGCTGCTGCAGAAGTGGAGAAGGTCAGTTGGTCAGTTTTCCATTTGAATTTAGTCTGGAAGACCTCATTTTTATCCTTGAGCAAAACAGCTTAAAATAACCTTTTGTGACTTGAATCTGGTACATGGGAATGACTGGAGCTGTGACTCTTCCCAGAGTATGTGCAAAAGGACACTGGAGGGAGAGGAAGGATATTTTGTTTGAGACAAGTCCTAGTTCTTTAAGGCTAGCTAGCCCTGATAAGGGAGGGAAAAACTACATGAAATAAAGACAAGCTTATGTAATTGTTTAATACTATTCATTCAGACATGATAATGCCTGTTTGTGTGTGTCATTAATAGAGGAGCCATAGTCTAGAGCAAAGTATAGCATGCAATTGCTTTCAGATATCTTAATTGGGTCATTGTAAAAGTTGTCAATTACTTTTTTCTACCTTGCCTAAGCATTTTCTTTTGCAGAATAGGCACACTTGCCATTTCTGCTGCTTACAGAAGTTTGTAGATAATTAGCGAGGTTTGGACATCTCTCTTATCCCCAAGCATGTACTCTGCTTTTCCCAAACAAGTGAGAGTTACTTCAGAAACAGCCAGAATCATGTGGAGGGGCTGTCTGTCCAGCCAGTGAGAGCTTCCCAAAGCAGGTGTTTGTGGTCACCTCAGGACCTCAGGATGGGGTATGCTTTGAGGTCTCTCTGTGATTGGATTCTTGCTACACTTTTCTGGTCAGGATAAGTGTTGAACCTCTGGTGTGATGTGAATCACAAAAGACTCAATGAGTTGCTATTGGCAGTACTACAGTCTGAGATGAGTTAGCCTATTGGACTGGGTTAGTTGACAAGGATTTACTCTCTATGAAGAGGTTTCAGGCGGAAAGCCCAGTCCAGCTGATAAAATAGGGTGGCTATGAACAACTTCCAGAAATGAAATGGAGATTTTTGCATGGTCAAGAAGCTGTCTGCCTCAGATATGGAGGGCATGGACCTTGTCCCAGTGAGATGGATCTGACCAGCAAAGCCTTGGAATTGCCTGTGGGAGCAAAGTTACCTGTGTGAACATGAAAGTGGCGAAGTAGGAAAGATGAGAGAGTGAGCTAGTAAGATGTTCCTTTATTCTTTTTCCCTTTTTCTTTTTTGTTCTGTTCAAACAAGCCTGTAAGTCGGAAAGATAGGCTGTAGCTAAAACAACAGGACTTCTGCTGGCTTTCTTCTAGCAGCACTCCTCAGTATGAAGCAGACAGCACCACTGCCTTTTGCTCTTTGGCTGCAGGAACATGTGAATAACTAACCAGGAGCCCTGCCAAACAAAAGGCATGGAGCTGATACCAGGCTGGTGCTCCTGAGCCCCAGGCAGTGAGCGCTGAACATGGCAGTGTGTCTGTCCGTGCTGGGTGATGTGGTGTGGTGCAGGGATGGCTGGTTGCTCCTAGGAGTGCCCTGGAAATGCCATGGCCATGCCAAGGTGGCACACTGCACTGCTGCCTTGCCTTGCACTGTGAGGGAGGCTGGGTTAAACTTGCTGCGTTCAGCACGAATGTGTTTGTGGTGCTGCCAGGTGCTGAGCTAGGTAATTCTGGGCCAGCCTGGGTGTCCCCAGGCTACTCTGGGACTCTTACACCAGCTCATCCCTCCTATCCAAAAATCTTCTGCTCTTCCTAGGAGATTTTGTCGTTCAACCTGTCTGATTGTTTTGTGATGCCTCATTGTCATGAGCCTCCAAGACAGTCAGACTCCCTCCTAAAACTTGCCAAGAGCTAAGAGTAGAAAATGAAAAGCAGTATGGGGAGTAAATTTCAGAGGAGAGAACATTACCAGATAGGGTAACAGGAATTTTGGATGCTGATCATAATTTAACTCATCTTCTGTCTTTGCTCTAGGGGACAGAGAAATTCAGCCCTCCATTTGTTGCATTCTTTAGAGTACAATACTATGTAGAAAATGGAAGAGTAATAGGGTAAGTTCTCTTCTGTGGTAATTACTGTGTTTTGAATTATTCAGTGTGTTCTTAAAATGAAAGAAAAAGAATGTTTCTTTGTTAAGCTCATTTCTGTGAACTCATTGAAATAAGCTTTAAAAATCAGCTTGAATTTTTTTAAGACCTTCACAGATGTCCTCACTCAGCTATGAATGTTTTCTGCCTGAATCATACTCCATATCCCTAGGAAAATTATGACTGCTTTTCCATCTGTGTTGAAAGTGCAGGTTGAATGATGACATTATCAAAACACTCTGCTTGTGTCTTTTGGTTGTATGAAAGGCACTGAAAAATAGTTATTTATACTCCAAAGCACATGCTTTGGATCTATTTTTTGTATTTGAGCAGTGCTCTGTGCAGTCTAATCCTGGAAATGGACTTTCATACATGGACAAAACAAATTATTTCATAAGTTAGACTTTTTCATTTGTAGTCCATTCACATGGAATATGGGCTGCACTCAAAACAGCACCACCCTCACCCATGGTACAGAACAAAGGATGAGGTAGTTAAAAATGAACAACTGACAGAGTTAATTTACATCAATGCTTCTGGTGTGGCTCTGTCCCTGGGGGAAGCCAAGAGCTGGGGTCATTTAGGTGGATTAAAATCTTTACCAAATTTTTGGCATATGTTCTTGTCTTGAGCAAAGCTTGTGGTTTTCTATGTTTTCTCTCTCCATAGTCTTTCACTTTTGGTTACTGGGGACTCCTTCTTATGGAGTCTGTCTGGCTGATAAGTGTTTTTTGTTTCATTTTGCCTTTTTTGTACAGAGAGAGATTACATACCATTCTGCCACTCCCAAGTTATGTATCCTACATCATCACAGGCATATTTCTCTTGCACTAGTAGTTTAATTGGAGAGGTTTGTAGAGCCATGCGGAGATAGTTATCTGGCCCCTTCAAACTATACTTGCACACTTTTACAAGCAGACTGTAGTGTCCAGCACCTCATCTACATGCACATGTCAGCAGCCTGCTTCCCATGATCTCTGAGGGCAGGGGGTGTGTGGGTTATCAAGGCTATGCCATAGTAATTCCTTATCAGACAATCCCTGTTTAGCAGCTTGAGGAAGAAGACAAAAACAAGCCCAGGGCTCCCATGTCTTTTGATCTACCTTGCAGGGAATTAGCTGTTAAGAACTATCATGAGCCTAAGGCAAGGTGAAACAAAAGCAGTGCCAAGTTTAGAGGGAAAAGGAGGACAGGTGTGCAAGAAACAGGACTGGGAGTCCAAGGGAGTTGACTATCCTGGCTGCTACAGGCTTTCCAGGGAAACAGAAGTGCTTGATTGTAGTCAGTCTCCAAAACAGGTGTGATGTGATTTTTCTTTCATCTACCTTCTGCCCTAACTTCTTAGATCTCATGCTTCTCAAGGTAGAAGCTACCATTTCTTGTGTTTGTACAACACTTAGTGGGAGAAGACCTTGATCTTGGTTTGGTGTTCCTTATACACACAACTGTATCAGGGTGGCATTGGCACACATCAGACATGTCAAAGTTTAATCCCTCTTCTCAGCAGGATGATGTTTTTGAGGGTCCTTATCTGAACTTTGTTCTTGAAGTAAATTTGCCTTTGTCTTGCAGTGATAAGGTGGCACGGCAGCTCTACTACTGCCATCTCAAAGAGCAAGTGCTTATGTCTCATTGCAACCACAAAGAAGAAATCTACTTCTTGCTGGCTGCCTACAGCTTACAGGCAGACTTGGGCAACTACAGAGAGAAGGTCCACGCTGGCAAATATTTTGAACCTCAGGCTTATTTCCCACAATGGGTAAGTTTGGGGGGAACCTTTCTGTCAACAGATCATGCATGCAGCAGGAGCTATGCCAAGGTGGTACCTAACTGCAGCCATGCAACTTCCCCCTCTCCTGCTGCAATGATCAGGCAGATGGGTAGAGTATCACCCTGAAGGTCCCTCAGGAGATATCTCATCTTTCCACTGGATGTAGGTGCACGTTCCTGGGCTCACTCATCAGTGAGGTGGGTGATACATCCTTCCTTGGTGATGGCATGTGTAGGTGTCACATGAATAACTCTGACAGTGCAGATGTCTTTGTTTAATTCTTCTATGGCTTAAAGGGTTGTGTGTTTCTAGTGGTACATTCAGCAAGATCTGCACATCCCAAGCTCTCCAGAAGACCTCAGGACTGCAAAGCCAAGTCTATTTCCCTCTGTTCTCCTCTCTGTAATGCTTGCCTCAGTGAGGGATGGATAGATCCAAACCCTATGGGGTAATACTGCTGTGCAGTGCCTCTGGTGCTTGCTTTGTCATTAATCTCTGCCTCAAGTGCAGTAAGAGGAAAGAGAAAGAGTTTGCATGTTTGTTTATAAGCATGTGCATGTGACTTGTGCCCTTCAGGACTTACAACCAAGAATTCATTTAATTGTCAAATGAAGGCAAATTAGCTAAGACTTTGTTAGTTGGCTGCTTGTCCCAGGCAAGTTGCATCTCCCCTGTTAGATGGAACTGTCCTCTGCTTTGGGGAGAAGGTTCAGATCAGTGACAGGATTTGTCCTGAAGACCAATAGTACCTTTTATGCACAAATCCTAGCCTGGCTGCCCTGCTGCGCAGCAGTGTGCCTTTCTCCCAGACAACAGGCCCTCATCCCGTACCATTCCTTGTTACTGGGTGCCTGTCAGGAGGTAGCTAACAAAGGGCTGGAAATGGTGGGTCTTGTGTGCTGTTTCTGAGGCAGCTAAAGGGCTTATCACAGACTGTTGCTCACCTGCACTGAGCCACAACCCCAAGCAAGTATGTGGGTGATTTATTACATCATTACAAACAGCAAAATCTGGCAGGCATGGGGACGCTTCTCTCCCTGCCCCTGGGGAGATAGTGAGTAATCTCCTCCTCCAACGCAATAACTTCCTTCAACACGTGCTTCATATCATATGGCCAAGGGCTGCCCCAAGTCTCATGCCAGTGAGGAGAGGCACTGCTGCCCTGGGCTGACCCACCCAGCTTTGAACTGTGGAGCTGGCACATCTCTTTCTGCTGACACTGCACAGCTGATGGCATCAATATTGTCCTCCACCAAGGCCAGCCTTCCTCGTGGGAGGGCAACCAATCTGGCAGGGCATGCAGAGGTGTTAGCAAACAGAGTAAGCAAGGGCTTTAATATTAAATGTAAGTGGGAACTAGGTGGTGATGGGGTCTCGTTGGTTTGAGCCAGGACAGCTTGTTTCTGGCAGGATGTTCTCAGGTACCTGGTGCAATCTAGTTTTAAATGCCCCTGGTGGTGGGGGATGTTGGGAAGTGAATTCAGCCAATCATCCCTCTTACCTGTCACTGCCACTAATGGCCTGAAACGAACCAGTTGAGTATGGGAGAGGGCTGAGCTGCCCAGTAGCCTTTTACGGAGAGGGCATCTGGGTAAATGTGGGAACTGGGCACTTGCAGGGCAGGAGCAAAAGGCCCAGGGCAGGTTTTTCCTACTGCTTAGTGAAGCCACGTGCCTGCCAGCCACTCCTAATAGATAAAAAAAATACCTTGAGATAGTGTTATCCACCCTTTGAGAATGGAAATGCTAAATAAGCCTAATGTGTAGTTTCTGGTCTTAAAAGGAAAACCTAGTATTTCTGCCTCTTCAGAGATGTTGCTGCTGATTGTGCTGGCATGCAGAGGAGTATTTGTTATCTGCCCATAAACATTTATGGATGCCAAGAGTTAGGAAAACTAATTCCAACACTTAAAAATGAAAAGAGCTGACACGACCTCTGTAGTCTTGGTCTGTTACAGTTTTGCCACTAGGATCTGTTTGGAGACATCAGTGTCATCTGGGCTGCTTTAAATGCTTATCCTCCAGGGAGGCAGAGGCAAACACAGACCAACATCTTGAGGGAATATATGAACCTCCTCCACCTCCAGCCACTGCTTTGCTGTTGATCACAGCTGCCTCTCATGGGGATTGCTGAAGACCTGTTTGTTTTCTTTGCGGTTTAGATAATTGCAAAGAGGGGGAGCGACTACATCTTGAGACATGCCCCAGAGATGCACCGAGAGCAGCAAGGGCTGAGCGCTAAGGAAGCGGTGCTGAAGTTCATTAAGGAGTCCTGCCTGCTGGAAGATGTGCCCGTCCACTTCTACAGGCTGCAGAAGGTTGAACAAAGAGCTTCTTATTTTGAACTTCTCTCCCATCATTAATTGAGTGCACCATGGCATTTTTCTCCTTCTGTTTGTTTGAGGGACAGTTGCCTCTGATTCAGAGAGGCCAAACAAATCTAAAATGCTCAGTCAAATGAGGACTGTCCCCACAAACAAATCCATTGCCAATGTACAGATGTAGCTGGAATTTAGTTTTGTTCCTCAGCCAAGAAACTGGCCACAGGAATGGCAAAACTTCATATTTGCTCCTGCCTGTCAGTAGAATTGCACCAGGGAAATCAATGAAGCCTCTTTTTTTCCTGTTGTAGTTCATTGAAATTATGACAAGAGGTCAGCCAGCTTTCACACAAATGTCGTGTAACAACTGAAGGTGACACTGAGTCCATTCCAACTTTCGTATCCCATTCCTTCTCCAACCCTGCCAGAGTGTTTGGTGTTTTTTCAGCTATATGCTTTTCTTGGCAGTTTTGGATTCCTACATTGTTGCTTGTTAGACTCTTTACCCAAACCTGCCTATACAGAAGATGCTTCATTTTCACATGCTGAGTGCTTAGATCTAGAAATGAGAAGTTTTCTGTTCCACTTAGGTGAGTGAAACCTGCCTATGCAATTAGGAATGGCTTGGGTTTTTTTTCCAAATGGAGATACAGAGATAGTCCTCTGTCAGACTCATAATTAAATTTTTTGGGTTTTTGTGCTCAGTGGCAATTATGTCTGAGAAGTATACATGTCCTCTGAACATATCTAACAGCTCTAGTTACTGAAGAAACATGCATTTTCTTGAGAAAATAAGTTTTGATCAGTAGTCCAGGCTTAGTTGCTTGCAAACCAAAGATGCTGGCCTTTCTTCTGTTCTCTGTTTTGATTCTTAATGCTGTTAGTGATGCAGTCATGAGAGAGTTAGTTACACTTGAATGCCATAAGAAGTCCAGCTGGCAGGACATGATACATTTTATATCCAAAAGCATCAAGGCTGTGAAATTGGTTGCTCTTAATATTTAAATTCCTGGTCGACTTGGAATTTAGGCACCATGTACTCTTCCATGTGTTGTTTGATTCTTAATAGAGTCTTATTCCTGCTGTGTGACACAATTATCTCATTTTGTGGTGAGAGATGCTCCTCCTAGGTGATGCTTGGGTCACCGATTGCCTGAGCCAAGTGCAGAGGAGTTGGTGAATGTGTTGGTGGGCTGGTTGCCCTGAGATTTCAAAAGCAGTCACTTTTGTCTTAAGACCCTCCTCATGGCTTCTACTGAGGTTGGGAGCTAAGGAAAACACAACACACCCCCTATCTCTCATTCAGACCAATACTGATTTACAAAGCTCTTTGTCCTTAGGAGGCAGAAAATATTTCTTATTATTTCTTACTTTGAGCTGAAGACAGGGATGGTACCAGGGATAAAGGGTGGGGTAATGTGATGGCATAAGGCTTGTATCTTGTAAGCCAGATGAGGAGAGACATGAATAAAGATGAGTTGTGACATAAAGTTTGAGCTTTGTGAGCCCATACATTTTTACCTCCAAATTTTCTTTCTCCTTTTCTTCCTAACAAAAAAAAACGTATGCATTCCACTCACTAACTCTGTTGTGTTAGGAGAGGCTGAAAGAATTAGCTTATGATATTTTTGGTCTTCAAGCAAAAGAATATGAATAGAGACCAAGTATGTCATACCAAGATGCAGCAGGAGTTAAAAGACAGTATTTCAACCCAGGTAATAAAACTCATGTAAAACCACCTACTCCCAACACCAAGATAGAATGTTAGAATGAAAGCCCCAATAACTGGGCATTGATTAGCTCTCCTCCAGCCAAAAGCAGTCTACCTAAGATCTAGCAAATCCCTGGATGGGAACAGCAGTGCTGTGGCAAGGAGAGGGGAATGGGTTCCCGTTCTGTTTTGGGCTCTCTGTCACCTGGAGAGCAAGAGTGGTGCATGTTCATGGGACAGCAGAGACAGCATGTGGTTACAAGAGAGGTTACAAGGTACCCCTGAGAACAGTAATTGTCCATATTCTCAAATCCCTAAAGCTACAGGATTCTCTGTCCAGGACAGCTAGGACATATGCTGGTGAAATGCCTGAGCCTCCCAGCATGAGGGAATTTTAGGTGTAGGTATTTCAGGGGTCAACAAGGCAAGGTGCACTTTACAAACATAATAAAAACCAAATGAGCTGATGGCATCTGTGTGATGAGGAGTCCTGCTACCTCTCCTGCAGTAGGTGCCAGAACAAGAGCATGGTCTTTGTAGATTAACCTTTGACTCTTCTGTTCTTTTAGGATAAGAAGGAGGATCGACCGACAGTTATCCTGGGCCTGACCCTGAGAGGAATGCACATCTATCAGGTAACAGACTGCTGTGAAAGCCTTCTGGTGTAGCATTAACTCTGCCCAGTTCCCTGTCCTCCCCCCTCACCGTGGCTCCTCTGCCTCCCCTGCAAACCCCAGGCTCCACATATCTCAAATTCTTGGTTGTTTGCAAATTCTTTGCACATCACTGATTCCACCCTGTACCTGCCAGTCCCTGTGTCACTCTGGGTTTGATGTGTTGCAGGAGGTGAATCACGTTCGCCAGCTCCTCTACGACTTTCCCTGGTCACACATTGGGAAGCTGGCCTTCCTGGTGAGTATGATGGAATGGAGGCCATCTGCCAGTGGCTGCCAGCCTGGGATGTGGCAAAGCTGTTGGCCTGCCTGTGCTGCTGCGTCATGTCCTGTCACTTGCACGCACAACACCACAGCTATCTCTGGTAACTGTGTGGCTGAATACGTGCTCCTGCTCATTTCTTTGGCATCTCTCCTCTTTGTGCAGGGGAAAAAATTTGAAATCCAGCCAGATGGTTTGCCCTCTGCACGGAAACTGGTTTACTACACGGGTTGCCCCTTCAGGTCACGCCATTTGCTGCAGCTACTCAGCAACAGCCACCGGCTCTTTCTGAATATTCAGCCAGTTTTGAAGCAGATCCAAAAACTGGAGGAGGCTGAAGGTATGTTAGGGAACACCCAAGTGAGTTTAGTAAGAGTACAGTGTGTTAGTCTCTTCTGTTGTTTCATGATGCCTACTCTCATCTAATTAATGGTATTTCTGCCTTATTGGGGAGTCAGTGGTAGAAGCAGAGGTGTTAGGCACCTTTCAAGTCCATTCCTAAGAAGTAATTGTGGCTCCCACATTGTTGACTGTGATCAGAAAGTTGTTTTGTGATATCACCTCTCAAGTGGTTTCTGTCTTTCCCTGCAGTGGGGTTACAGCAGTGGCCTTGAGCAGTGTGGGTGCAACCAGTGGCATGTGCCAGTCACCTGTAGAAAGGCTCACTGATCAAGTGCCTGTAGGCAAAAAGCCCTCGGTTGTTTTGTGTCTGTTAGTGTCACAGATTTCTCAACCACCCTCAGCACATACATGCCATGGGAGAAATAATAAATCAGTACTAAATACCAGCCACAGAAATCTTGTTCTTAGCTGACTTAGCGTAGTGGCGGGTATTTCAAGAACCAATCAGCACATCTGATTTTAAAGATTGAGCACCAAATTTTACTAGGTAATTCCCTTTTTTTGTTTGCTTTTGTTTTGCTTTATTATTATTGACCATCACTCTGAAACCTACTGTTTTCTGTATTATAACTGCCTCTACCTGCCTGTTCTAATTTAGGAGATGCTGGGTTTACTGCGAGAATAAGTAATTATTTTACAACTACCTGAGTATATATCTGTTGAGCAAAAAAAATACAAAGCTGTCCCTGTATTTGTTCAGTAGCTGCAGCGGTTGTTTCTTAGTTGTTGGCTGATGCCAACAGAACTTCCTGAATATATTTTGTTACCCTTCCTTAAAGTTCTCACTGGTTTCTCCCTCAGAGAAGAAGCGCTACCGGGAGTCCTATATCAGTGACACTCTGGACATGGACCTGGACCCATGTGACAAGAACTCCCGTGGCAGCGGGAGCAGCGGGGGCAGCCGCAGGGATAACCGCCTCTCACGCCAGTCCACTGGGAGTCACGGCAGCTCCCACACCTCGGGCATCGAGGCTGACTCCAGGCACCGCGTGTCCGTGGAAATGTCGGTGGATGAGCCCTTCGGCATTGACCGTGTGCATAGGAAAGAGCAATCCTGCAGCTCAACCATCAGCTACGGGAGCTCTGGCATTGACAGTGGCAGCAAAGGGAGGGCTGAAGATGACGCTCAGGATGATGGTAAAGAATTTGGACATGTGGAGCAACTTCTAAGCCAACTTTTGTCTTCTCCTGCAGGAGAGCAGGGAGTAAGAGACTGTACAGCAGCTTGGAGCACAAGTGTAATGCTAACCATTCTCCTGCTGCTCTCTTCCTCCTAGAGCTTGAGCTGGCAGTAGATGAGCCAGAGGAGATGCCTGTAGATGAGCCTTTAGAGGGAGACCAGTTAGAGGAGGCCACTGTGGGAGAATCTGTTGAATCCCTGCCTCTAGATGCTGCTAGCTGCCAAGGTGAGATGGCTTTCTGCTGCTGCTCAGTGCTGTTCTTTAAGGCTCTAGCAACAGGCATGATCTGAGGGATCTACAAAAACTCTTTATCTCCTTCTAAACAGCTGCCAGTGCTATTTACTGCCCTACTGCAACAGGATTTGCAGGCAGCTCATCTAGAGTTTACAGGCCAGCATTCTGTACTGTATGTACAGTGCTGCTCTCCTCTGTGCTCCTCAAAGTCTCCCTTCTCTAAATGTGCCAAGCTTATATTCAGTTAATGACAAAAAGATAATTGAGGTAAACCTTTTGTAGGGAAGGAATATGCTTTAATATCTTGTATGCCACAAAACAGCCAAGGGGCTCAACCACAGAATAATGGGATGGTCACAGGAATTCTTAGGTAAAGTTTTGTGGCTTGTGATACAGGGAATGCTAGGCAGCAGGGTTATGCAAGAGCTGTCTGGCCTTAATATATACAGCCTTTATAGGAAAGCAAGAAGGGTGAAAAAATGGGACAAGTTGGCAAGAAACTGTTTCCGTGAAAGTTTTCAAATGTTGATCTTTAGAGCCAAAAATGAGTACTTAGGAGCAAAACTCCTGGAGCATTGAGGGTGCTTAATGATGTATATTTGTCTTAAGAGGACACTGTTTGAATGTGACCTGTGAGAACAACTTCCCTTTTCTATTGCCCACAAAACCTCAAACTTGCAATGCTTTTCACTTCCTGCTTCTCCTTTGCAGCTATAAATCAGGAATCTTTGTCCGTGGTGCAAGTCACACTAATCAAAATGAGAGGACAAAGTGTGGAATCCCTTCACCAGGTAAGGGAGAGGTTGCTCAGCAGGATGGTCTGTGTGTGGGCATTGAACCGAGGTCCAGTGTAATGGAGACAGCTGTAAATCAGGACACATGGATAGTTTGGATTTGACCGATTTTTACATGGTGTAATCAAAACCAGCTGCTGGTCAGCTACTTCTCTCAGGAATAGCATAAGAGCAGCATTTGGGGTCAGAATAGTATAGAAAGGTTTGGAGCAATCAGCAGGGAGATCATGCAAACCAGTTATTATCTACCTTAGTCTTCTGGATGAGACATGGAAGATCAACCACATCAAAATTTTCGGTGCAATACAGAGCAAAAACCATCTATGCAGTTTGGATGTGAGTTGCAAACTTGATCATCTTGAAGCCAGAAGTAGCTTACATCAGAGCAAAACCAGATGCTCAAGCTCTAGTTGTTATATCATTTGTGTGATTATAGTCTGTGTGTACGGAAGTCTTTGTTGTCAAGATTTTCTTTTCACCAAACACTTGAGAAAGGGAAATTATATATGGTAAAGTACGTCAGAGAAGAAGATATATTTGGAAGAAGTTCATTAAAATGTCTTTTTAAGACTTCTTTTCTAAGTATTGCTGTACTCACTGGGGTAAAAATGTGGTTTTTGAAAAAACCCAACCAAACAAAACAAAAGCCCCCAAAAAAGCACCTCTACCCTTTCTTCCCTCTTAATCCAAAATTACCTTATCTGCTGAGAGAATTCTAAAACTCTTAACAAGGTTTTCAGTCACTTCTTAGGACTTTGTTTTTAATTTTCCATGTTTCTTTCTAAACCCAGTCAAAAATGATAAGAAATTTTCATTTATTAGCAAAATAGTCCATAAAGTGCTGTAGGAGACTTGAGCAGAAGCTAAAGACCATACAGTACAAATCATAATGAATTTATTCCTCTATTGGAGTGGAAGACTTAAGAGCTCATGGCTGGAAGTGGGCATCTTGCTTAAAGCTGTAATGTTTTTAAAGTTACTGCTGTATCATGCTTACACTGTTAAATGATCATGAGACATCTGTTTTATACAGGACTGTTAGGACTGTCTATATGATTGCAAAGACCTGGCTGCCACTTTAGTGCATCACATACTTGGTCGCTCCATAGAAAACTATCAAAATATTCCTTACAAGGCCATGTAACTATATGCTGCAGGGTTTCATTAGCATTGACCAGACAGTGCAACATATTCCTGTTTCTGGGAGTACAGCTGAGCCAGAACAGGATTTCCTCAGGGTAGTTTTTTAATTCCCCTCCCATGGCAGTGAGAGAAATTATACTGGGAGTAAGTTTTCTGTGGTGCCAACAGAAGTGTCTTGGTTTCAAAATTATATTCTTGAAATTAGCCTTAATGTTAGCATTTAACAGGTGATTATTAAAGAGGCAGAGCAAGAAAAAAATACAAGTGTTGAAGCTGGAAATACTCTCAAATGGTCAATAATTCCTTCACAGAGGCTTGTGTAGCAAGATGGTGCCTCTGGGAATTACTGCTGATTTGTTGCTACTCTTTATGGAACAGTGTTATGTAGATGAAACTGTTTGTGGCAATTACTGGACACTGTAACCCATTAGTTTGCATGGTTGCCTTCTGAACCTTCCTTTCAGCTCATTAGACTTTGTGTTTGAGCACTTGGGGTAGTTTTTTGTTAAGTGCACTTCATCCATTTGAGGACAAGTGCTTGGGTCTGCCAAGAAGTGTGAGGTCATTCAGGTGTCAGTATCTGTCAACTGTTTCATCCATTGTACTGGATGCTTGAGGACACAGGGCAGACAGATCAGGATCCAGCTCAACATGGCATGGCAGCTTAATGCACTTGTAATTTCTGAATTGTACAGCTCCTTGTTTAAGCCAACATCCTTCAGAAGGCTGGTGGGGCTCTTTTGAAAGTGGGGAAGAACAACTTTGAGAAACTTTTGGCATGCATAGGCAGAATCCTTAGGCTCCGTCTGAGCTCATTGTTTTTATTCACGTGTGTCTTGCTGAACTGGCAGGTCAGATCACCCAAAAGCCGGAGCTGCATGGAGCAGCACAGCCAGAGTTTGGATGACATCCGCTTGTACAAGCGCCGGCACCCATCGCTAAGTGCCACGCTGTCTTCAGACACGTCCCACAGCTACACCTTTGGCTGCAGCCTCGAGGACAAGCTGTCTGTCTACGGCTGCATCTATTCCACAGCGGACTGCAAAACCAAGTCTGCCCTTTACGGGAAGCGATCCATGAACTGCCTCTCCTTGGATCTTCTGGGAGAGGACCAGCTCCCAGAGGAGTTTGTGGTGTAATGAGATTGGAGCTCTTTCATACCAGGAAACAGCTCATCATGGCAATATATACCTCATTAACGTGTGATGTCACTCTGGTTCTTGCAGGAGACGGTGAGCGGCTTTGTTATTCAGCTCCGTATCAGTAATTGGCATCACTTCTGCAGAGCTGGCTACAGGGCAGATCAAATGGAGTGTAGCACTTAACACTGGCATTGGTAGTGTCTGTCTGAGCAGAAAGTGGAAGTGGCCTGCACCCTTGAAAGGGACACAACCAACGTAAAAACCAAAAAACAGTGGACCAAAACTGACACTGAGCTAGTAAAGCAAACTTTGTCTAAATGGACTAATCAGAAATTTAAACTTTGTCAAGTTCCTGCCTTTCTCTTGTGGTCCATGTTTCTTAATTTTAGTGTACAAATAGTTTGTCTTCAGTTTGTGCTGCTGCAACATTGCCAACAGCTGTCAGGCCAGGATATACTCTAAGCACATTTGGAGGGCTGTGTATGGAAGTGTCTGGCCTGTTTCAGTTGTAATGAACACAAGTTGCTTATTCACTGCACTGGGAGCAAGACCTGCTCTGCCAGGAGTTTCTTCTTCTTTTGTTGTTGTTATTTTGTTGTAAGCATCCAGCCAAATAAAATGTGTGGTCTTTTTTTTTTTTTTAATTGCAACAAATGGAGCTGACTGTCAGCTGTCTACCACTGCTGTGATGCAGATTGGCATTATATCCTTGGGGAGATAGGGAGGAGATAAAGCAAATGACTTGGCTGCTTCTGAGAGTACAGAGGGCAAGAGCATTAATTGACAGGCTTTTGAAAAGAGGAGTGTGACTAGAGAATTTGTCCAGGCATGATCACCCCTTACATTGATTCATACTTTAATGCTGTTCTTTTATTTGTTTTTAATAAATCTGTTCCTTAGATTTTTTTCCCCTTCTGCTTAGGAGGCAAGTAAGGATTGGAGAAAGTCACCTTGCAAGGACAGACAGAGTGACTGTGTCCTACTTCGTCATGAATAGGTCATGCAAATATGTGTGTGTGGTGCTGCAGGGCTGATGATGGTGCAGGTGTAGGGTGTTTGTGTGCCAGACCAAGGGTACTTGTTTTGGTGATCTTGAGAGTGGTGGATCTGGCTGTGCTGGCTCTCACTAGGGAAATAATCATAATTATGCTGTTTCATTCAAGCATTTGGTGTGGAAAACATCATGCTACCTTGTTACATGCAAATGAATATGTGTTTGGTTTCCTCCCCTCATCAATTGCCAGCATTGGGAAGCTTGTACTTGAAGGCCCAGCTTTGTGCCCAGCTTTTCACAGCCATCTAGGTGTGTTCTGGCAAACTAGAAGGAAAGGAATACTGTTCTGCTGGCTGGGGAAGTGTGTGTTGTGCAGTGTTGGTCATCAAAAGCTGAAGATAGCCTTATTCAGGAAAGAAAGGAAGCCAGACTATGACAAGAAAGGTTTGAGCTGCTGCTTTGATGGTGGGCAAGCTCAGTAGTTGTCAGGTAAATTGCATTCCCGTAAGTCATTAAATAGCAAATCCTTGAAGTCCATCATCTTGCTACTTGTGTGTGAATGCCATGTAGAGACAGGCCATGCAAGTGCATCTGCATTCACTGAAGTGGGACCAGCTGCTCTACATCCTCTGAGATGAATCCAGCACCAAACCCAAGCTGTGTGCACTGTAGCCATTACTTAATTGACTGTGCCCTCTTTGATCACACTGTTCTTTCTTGTTGTAATGAACAATTAGGAGCTGTGTGTTCACTGTAGCCTCTTTTCCTTTGTTCCAAACAAAGCCAAAATGCCTTTGCAAAGTACTTGAGGTATGTTTACTGCATCCAAAATAAATTCTTCTAAATGGATCTAAATGGGTAAAGGAAATCTGGTTGGCTGCTCTTGAACAGTCCAGCCAAGCCTCCCTCTGTCAGTCACTCCCTGTTACCTGGGTCCTGTTTGGCCATAAGCCACAGGAGATGGGCATGGCCAGGATCCAGGAGGCCAGTGGCTGTACAGCAGGCAGCAGACTTGCAGCAATGCAGGAGCCTTGCTCTTGCAGCCACCACAGAGCTGGAGGGATGGCTCTTACTGCAGCAGTGCCTGTCCATGAAAAACATGAGAGGGAGGTCTGGAGTGAGGGCCCCACTAACCTGTTGCTCTCCCACCCATGTAGATGTACAGTTATTTATGGTTCTGGGAATGGTTGTTAACAGGAAAAAAGATCAAAATTCAGTGGGTATAGTTGTTTGGAAAAGAGTCATAAAATGTGTGTGCACCATGTGCACACTTCTCTCAAAGACAATCACATCCTTATCTGCTTCAGCCTAACCACATCACAGAAGTGTTTATTACCACCAGGCAGCTCACTGTTCTGGTTTTGCAGTTAGCAGGCATCCAAAGGATTTGGTGAAGCACTGTAATCCTGTAATCCTGCTGCTGCTGGTTACAAAATGCACCAATGCCTGAAAACAGCGTAACTGACTCTTGCATGAGCATCCACTGCCTTGTACATTCCTGAGGAGTTCTTGTATTTATTCATGGCTGGTAGGGAAGGCAAACTCTACAGGTCTGACTGTCTTCTCTCTGTGGTCTGTGCAGCTCCCTCCAGTACTGTAAGTGATGTATGCATATGAAGGGGAGACCAGACACTTTGTGTATAGACTGAGAATGAATCAGTATCTTATGAGCACTGTGAATATCTATTATGCAACTTTTGTATTCATATTAAAAAAAAATCCACTTGTTTCTGCTAGTAATACATTTATTTTTTGTTTGGATTTAGAAGATCTCTTATTTTTGGGTTTGATAGTTTGGTAGACGTTAGTGTGTAAGCATTTATCAGCTGATGTTAGAAACTAGCTGCCAATATTTGTACATATTTGTAAAATACTCGTGTTATATTCACTCTATTTTAATGGTAAAAGTTTCTCCTTTCCATGAAAGGATTTTCTTGTTTAAAATAAAACATAAATAATTATATATACACCTGCAATAAAGAATGGATAGAAAAAAGGTGAATGTGTGGCTATTTTTGTGTCCAAGGAAGACTGTCTTCCATTTGAGATGGGTTGTGGAAATTAATTTGCTGCCAGACTAATCCATACGAGCTCAGCTTGTGATGACAAACCCAGAGGCACTGCAGTCACTGGAACAACTCCTGTTCCTCCTTGCTATTCTCAGTAGCACAATGCCAAAGGGTACCTTTGTCAGGTATTAAGACACAGCTGAGCAGGTTGGAGTCAGCAGGACACTCAAGGGGGCTGAATCTGACCGAAGAGACAAGTTAAGCTGCTCCTGGTGGTTAGTCAAGAAAACCAAGTGTGAACTCCCAAGGAGGTAGAGAGATCCTGTCAGCATCCTCCAGGGGCTGCATCCAAGGACAACTGCCAACCCACAGGATGCAAAGGGCTGCTGAAGAGCACTCCACCAGAGTCACCTAACCTGCTGGCTTGGAGTCTGGCATGGATAAAAGAAAGGTTTCTTTGGGTCATAAATCTATGAAGGGGTGCTGCAGAGCTATCTGGATCTCTTGTTGAAGAAGCTTGCTCACTGAGAGCCTCTTATGAATGTGGTTTTTTTTGGTTTTTTTTCATTTTCTCTGGAAAAAAATTACTTTTTATGTACTTTAGTAGGGTAGTATTGCCTCTATTCTTAATATTTCCTTTCTTGTACTTCATATTTTTGTCCAGTACCTATGTTTCCAGTACACAAATTTTCAAGGACTTTGGAAACTCATCCAACTTTGGCTTGGGGATGCTGGGAGAGGGCAATTTGATTGCACATGGAGCTTTGTATGGAGATAAAACTAAGTAACAGATCGACATCAGGTCACTCAAATTTGAAGGACATGGTCACTTCTCTTTGTTTTGTTGTTTGGCAAGTAATAGCACTCTTGCCCTCTAGGGTGGAGTCCTGCTGACCAAGGAGTCTGTCTCAGAAGGTGGGGCTTCTCGTGGTACCAGCAAATGCTGTATGGGTTCAGTCAAGTGCTGCAGTGTGGGATGAGGACAATGTGGTTACTTCTCTGCATCTGTTTTGAGGCATGCCACCTGTGGGAGCTGTACGGAGGTAAGGCCTGAAGGTGTGTGCTAAAGCTGATGGGTAAAACAACCCAGGTGTTTTGGGTGAGCTGAGAGCAGTTCTTCAATGGATTTCTTGGCAGCAAATTCTGAGTCACTGGAGGCTGATACCGTATTTTAAAAGTCTGCACATTTTTGAGCAAGTCCTAAAGCCTCTCACTGTAAAGCTGTAGCTCCTTGTTCCCCAGCAAGGTGCTTCCTCTGCCTGGGTCAGGTGGCTCCTAGTTACTTTGCCCAGGCTTCTCGTGGCAGCTCTCTTCCCTCATCCCCGCCCTCGTCTGCTCTGCCTCCACCTCGGAGCTCCTGCTATGATGCCTCCCCTTTCTTGGAGCGTATTCGCGAGCTCGTGGTCCCCAAGGCCTGGCTCCTGCCTTCATGTCTCTCCTGGACGCCCACCAGTTGTGGCGTGAGAAGGAGGGAGGGACCCATCGTGTCCCCTGGCGGTTCTGCCCGGCCCGTGGCGGCAGCGGCACGCCATGCATGGGGCAACGCGGCGGCCGGGCCGGGCCGAGCCGAGCCGGGCCGGGCCGGGGTGTGCGGCCGGGGTGTGAGGCAGGGCCGGGCCGGGGTGTGCGGCAGGGCCGGGCCAGGGTGTGAGGCAGGGCCGGGCCGGGCCGCGCGGGGGCGCCCAAGGAGCGCGGCGGCCTCAGGGCCGGGCCGGGGCCGGGGCCTCCAGTCAAGTGGTGCCGATTCCCCTCGGGCAGCTTCTGTCAGCATTCTGCGGGGTCCAGGCTGACCGTTTCCCTTGGGACAGTACAGCCCAGGGTGATCGCAACTTGAGTGAGCAGAGCCCAAAGCCAGCGGTGGCCATTCCTCACTGAATGCCGCACAAAAAGCCTGTGGAGTGGTTACAGGTTTCGGGGGTCCAGCTCCTGCAAGGAGGGATGTGTACCCAAACTGCACTGGGGAGAAAGCTGATGCCCTTTCGCCTCTGGTAACC